AGAGAGAGAGAGAGAGAGAGAGAGAGAAGGAAAGAAGAAACTAACATGCAAAGTACATGTTTTCCTTTAAACTGTTAAAAAAACATGTGCCCACATTCCCAGTGAAAGCTACAGGCTACAGAACACTTCTCTTATCCTGGCATACAAATGTGACTGCTTAAATATAGACATTGATCTCTCCAGATAGCAAATAAACATGCTGTTTAATTTAAAAAGAGTTACATTAATGGGGGAGAAAACAAACTGGGAAACACCACCACTACCAAAGCTTGATGGAAAAGTCAGATTAGCAGTCTACAGACAAGTGAAAGCAGAGCCTGAGATGCCAGCCCCAACATACATACATATGAAGAGACCATACATACATACAAACATACATACATACAGCAGAAGCATGAGCGATGTTCAGATGAGGACTGAACCAACAGACCACGGATAAACACAAGGGTCTCCATGACCCCTCGGGTAAGAGCCAGACATTCTGACTAAACTTGATCCCTACTTCACCCACCCCTACTCTACAAACCCTTCCCTCCACCGCCAAACTCACAGTGAGTCAGTCTGGTCTATTCAGAGTCTATAGATATGGCCACCATCTGTTTATGTTCATGTCAAAGGAAAGGCTAAGTTAAAAGCAGTGCTCAAAGACATTGATCCACATGTTAGAGTGATTAATCTACAGTATGGATTTTGAAATCTGGATTCTTGAGACCATGCTAGTTTTTCATTGCTCGAACATTTTAATGTCTTCAATGAGACTCTAGGGCTGTCTATATTGAGGTAGGTGACAGGACCATCAGCATTCTACATAACAGGTGAAATTTTTCATGGCTCAAATCTTGGATCCCTAAATGACCTGCCACCATGGGCTTTTATAAGACACTTTTGGCTCTGTGAAACAGTTCCCCCAATTCATGGACTAAATCATATAAAGCTGCAAGAGTTACAAATGGATGCTGAGTCAATCCTACTGGAGATGAGGAGGCACACTTGGCATATGATGTGCTGTTTGCTCATCTCCCCCTGCCAGCTTGATCTCTACAGAAGAGCTGGCAGGCAGGGGCGATATGCGCTGCTTCCCAGGCGCTCACTGGGTGTCTCAGCAGCCGCATAAGCCCTTCTCCTTCTCCTCATTGAGTTGATCTGCAGAGGTATGGCCATTGGACCGTACCACTCCCTCTGGAATCCAGGACTTGTCCACACACCGCTCCATCCGCTTCATGATCAGGTCCAGGAGCATCTCAATTGCTTGGCTTATGTTTGTCCCGTTGGCAGCACTGGTTTCAAAATAGGGGATTCTGGAAGACAGAAATCACTGGGGTAACAATGTGGAAAGAAAGACAGAATACTAACTTTTTTCATAACTTTTTTGGTCATTCACAATTTAGAGAATTTGAGGATAAATATATATGACAACAGTGTGACTTCAGTGTGCTCAGAGAGGAGGTGATAGCATTTCAGTTTAATCCAATGTGCCAAATTACAAGAAAAAAAATGAATTCTATTCCAATGTGTGTGCCTCTCAAAACCATTCCTTGATATTTTGTTTTTCAAAATGATATCATTTGCCAGCACCTAAAACACAAATGCCTGCTTATGCTTAAAGGAATGACATCATCACAATTGGCATAGGGCAATCAGTCTGCTGCGTGGGCTGGTGTTCGCACCCATCTCTCTCAAACAGCCATGAGCTGGCATTTTGTATCCATCTCTCTCAAACAGCAAGTCATCCTGGGGCAGAATGCATGTGTAAAGTAAACTGTACTTCTATGAGGAGGGAGGGGATGGGGTATGAATACTGTCTAGGCAACCACCAACAGCTTCCACAGGGAGTAGAGCCAGCATTTACTTAAGAAAAGGCAGGGCCAGGGATAGTGCTGCACACCCACAACCCTAGCTTGGGAGGTAGAGGCAGGAAGATCATAAGTTTAAGGGCAGCCTTACAACACAGCAAATTTGAGGAAAGCCTGGGCTACATTAGACCCTGTCTCCAAAAAAAAAAAAAAAAAAAACGATGCGAGAGGAGGGGAGAATGGCAGGGGGAGGGGAGTTTTAATTACATGCCCTAATTTCTCTGGTGTTTGGAGTGTTAAGTTTCTACACACACACACACACACACACATACATACATACATACACACATACACACACACACACAAGCAGACCTGGCCTCCAGATTCTTCCAGCATCTCTCAGTTCCTTCCTATGTGGCTGGCATACACCACCCTCTACCCTGAACTTTCCAGCCCAGGGCCTCTTCCCTATATAATCCAGACATTTTGGATATGCTCCACTTCTGTACCTTTTTCCTCCTGGCTGCTGTACTTGGTTCCCCTCTCTTTCCCTCCCCTCCCCCTTTCCTCACATGGTTCAGGGTTGTGACCACTCCAGATTCTCTCAGATGCTCCAGCCTCTGGCTTTGCTCTCCCAAAGGTGTACAATAAACTTTCTCCTCCACCACACCCAGGAGTAGTCATGTTCTTTCCTTTCCTTTTTATTTATTTTTTATTCAGGGGGCACAAAGGTTCTTGCATCGACAGATCACTAGGGAAACCAGGAATGTTAAGCTCACAGAAGTTTCTTTTCAAAGAAAAAGATGTACCACCTGTTTTCCACCTAGCAGTGGAGGTCATTAACGACCTGATGACCTTTACTATCTATAGAGCTAGAACTCACCCAAATTCCCCAGAATGTTTATCCCAGACTGTTAGTATTCTGTCTAAACTCCACCTCCACAGTTACCTGGCAACAACCAGGCATGCTCCTCCCCACAGTTACCTGGCAACAGCCAGGTAGGCCTGCCCACTATAAAAGGGGCTGCCTGCCCCCTCCTCACTCTCTTACTCCCTTGACCCCTTGCCTGCAGGTTCTCCTCTGCCCCCTCTCCTTCCCTTCCCCCTCTCACAACGTGGTCATGGCCAGCCTCCACCTCATTCTCATTCATTCATTCTCTCTCTCTCTCTCTCTCTCTCTCTCTCTCTCTCTCTCTCTCTCCCTCTACTACTCTCCTGGCTCCGCTCCCCATGCCCTGAATAAACTCTATACTATGCTATAACGGTGTGTGGCTGGTCCCTGAGGGGGAAGAGATGCCTCAGCATGGACCCGCTGAGACATCCCCTTCCATCATTGCATTGGTTCCTGTCCATCACTATCCTTCACAGACCCTCCCTCCAAAGACCTCTTATTTTTAGTTTTCTCCATCAATAGAATACATGTACTTTATAGACCCAAGGACTTCTACACTATCTAGTTGATGGAGACATATCAGATCCTCCTCTAGGCCTTTAAGCTAGTAAATGTAGCCTATCTCTAGAACCCATCTTCTTGGAAGAAGTAACATATACTTTGAGTTTGGATATAGTTATACTTCCCTGTGCACTGGTGATTGAATTACTCCAGGAAACTACTCCCCACAATTATGCTGTACTTAAATATGCTTACAATAAACCACCTAGTGTCAGACTCCAGAAGTCTGAAGGACCCGTTTCCCTTCTGGCTGTGATGCTTGCAGCATACACCCCTAAAAGTCATTCCAATAATAAATAGCACACATGTAAGCATTCTCCATTCCCACATATGTTCCCATACATCCTATAGCCCCTGTTCAACTAGAAAATGCCCTCTTGGATCAACCAGTGAGTAACATCCACAACCTTTTGTTTTTTGAGACAAGATTTAACTAGGTAACTCAAATGAATCTTGGATTTTCTATGTAGTCTAGGCTAGCCTCAAATTCACAGTCCTCCTGCTTCAGACTATCCAGTATTTGGATTGCAGATGTGTACCACCACTCCCAGCTTACTATGTTGTTTGCTTGTTTGTTTGTTTGTTTTACATGCACTTGGGGATCTGAGGCTGGGGTATCGAAGTGCCAGACTAGCCTGAACTACAGAACCATTTAGCACGACCCTGCTTCAAAACCAAAAGCAACAACAAACTAAGATTGGATTGGCCACAGAGTCCCACATGGTATTAGTGGCAGGCAGACCTCTGTGAATTCCAAGCCAGCCTGGTCTGCGTTAGTGAATTCCAGGATAGTCAGAACTGGACAGTCAGAAAACAACAACAACATGTATTCTAAGTTGTAGATCAAGTCCTGTGCTCCCAACATATCTCTGGAGCCTTTTCCTTATCTGTGAAAAGGAGGAGCAGTAGTTGGAGGTCGTGGTGCTAAGGGGCTGAGATAAACACAGGTACAACACTTAACATGAGAGGCTTCTTTCTGGATGTGGTGGTGCACGCCTGCAATCCCAGCATGTCAGAGGCACCATTTCTGCACATTCAGTAGCATCTTGGTTTTGGTTTGGTTAAGTTTGGTTTGGCTTTCAAGACAGAATTTCTCTGTGTAGCCCTCACTCACACTGAACTCACTCTGTAGACCAGGCTGGCCTGGAATTCAGAGACCCTCCTGCTTCGGCCTCCCGAGTGCTTGGATTAAAGGCATGCCTGACACTTGTGGTTTTTTTTCCAAAATCTTACCTGAGAACAAGTTTAGGTATCTAGACATAAATTCAAAAGGATCATTACGTTAACCATAGAAAGCTGGTACTATCCTTTACGTCCACAAGGTGGTGCTAGAGCAGCACTGCCAGGGAGAGCTCTTTCTATAGATTTAAAAAATGGTTGGTTCCTATTTATAGCCACCTACAAATGACCACTTTATAGTTACTTGGGAGTTCCTAGAGACAAAGAATATTTTGATATGTTTTTAATAGGCTGGGTGGTCATGGCACACACTTTTAATACCATCATTCAGGAGGCAGAGACAGGCAAATCTCTGTGAGTTTGTGCCAGCCTGGTCTACAGAGCAAGTTCCAGGACAGTCAAGGCTACACAGAGAAACCCTGTCTCAAAAAACAACAACAACAACAACAACAAAACAAAAAAAACAGATTCATCACCATTAAAAAACAAAAAACATCAAGTAAACAAAATGATAACAGTTGCTTTCAATTCAACACAAGGGACTGTCTTTTTTGTACTTCTCCACCAGGATATCCTCAGGGCATGATCCTCAATAGATGACTTCTCTTCTATTATTTACTCATTGACAAAACTGGAAGCTTAACACCAAGTTGCCAGGGATTAAGAGTTGGCACTGAGGTGCCCATATCGGGCACTCACAACTGTATCTCCAGCTCCAGAGAAACAATGCTTCTGCCTCTGATATCTGTGGTGTACCTTCTGGGTAGTTGCATACACACAGACAACTACACATAGTTAAAAATATTTTTTAACCCAATGCAGAAATGGAATAGATATATATATATATATATATATATATATATATATATATCTCACTACATATATAAAAATATACATATATTCATATATTCTCTAAGAAAGTGCTTGCCTGTCATGTGCAAGACCTTGAGTTCAGTCCCCAGCACTTCAGAAGTCGTCAGAATGACAACGAGGATCTCTAGAGAGTTTTGTTAAAAGTATCTAGGTGTTTGCCTTACATGTGGATCCAGAATTCATGGCGAGTCTTGATGAATGCTGAGTGCTCATGGAAAAGGACTGTGTGATGATCACCAGAACCAGGAGGACTGTAGCAAAGAAGATCTGGATTCTCTAATGAGTTACAGTGGCTTCCAGGAATCAGTCTTGTGTGTTTGGTTGTAGCTTATGTTGTTTCAAAGTATGCACAATAACACAACATTAATTTCTTTCTTTTTAAAATTTATTATTTTTATGTGTATGAATGTTTTGCATGAATATGTGTGTTCCTGTGTCTGAGGAAGTCAGAAGAGGGTGGCATTGGACCTCTCAGTTCTGGAGTTTATGGATAGTTGTAAGCTATGGAATAGGTGCTGAGAATGAAACCCTGGTCCTCGGCAAGAGTGACAAGCAGTCTTAACCCTAGAGCCATCACCAGCCCTCATTAATTCCTTTACAAGGGATCAAACAATCAGAGACCAAATTCAGACCACATTCCCTAGTTTGGAGTTAGCACAGAGCACTGCTGAGTTCAGACCCCTGAAATCTATAACATGGTCTGTGCCAATATATCTATCACCAACCCAGAATAAAGTCTATAACATGGTCTGTGCCGATGTATCTATCACCAACACAGAATAAAGTCTATAACATGGTCTGTGCCGATGTATCTATCACCAACACAGAATAAAGGTTTTCAACTGAGCTTTCATTGCAGAAACTTTGAGTGTAACCAGCAGGGGGGAGGGGCAGAGTCCTCATCTCAGATCTGTGGCCAATTATGTGCACAGCACATAAGTATATACATTCAGTTGTTCTTTAACCCTATTCACAGTTTCCTTGGCTTTCTCCATTCGGAATTTTTAAAAAAAAAGGCAAAGGGGCTTATTACCAGTGCCAGTTATCTTCTGTGACTAAAGAAGCATAGCAGCTTCCATCCCTTTCCTCTCTTCTCCTGGCACTTCCTTTATCCTCATCAGTTAAATCCTCTTCTCATTAGAACTTGACTCAGCCCTTTTTTGTTGGGTTGGGGGGTTCAAGACAGGGTTTCTCTGTATAGCCCTGGCTGTCCTGGAACTCACTTTGTAGACCAGGCTGGCCTCGAACTTAGAAATCCGCCTGCCTCTGCCTCCCAAGTGCTGGGATTAAAGGTGTGCACGACTACTGCCTGGCGACTCAGCCCATCTTTGTGACTCTTCCATGACAAGTATGTGCTGGACACAGGAAAAGACAGTCCCCGCATGGCTCAGTTCTTAGCACAACAGAAAGCAACACCAGGCTCTCTGGTGCTGAGCAGATTACAGAATCCCAAGACCCAACATGCAGTAACAAGGAAAGATCTGATGAACACCCAGAGTGGGCCAGGTTGGTTCTTCCACTCTCCAGGTGCTAGAGACATCCTTGTTGAAAGACTTCTCTGACTGGCCTACTTTTACATTCACTTCTCAAAAGCATGGGCAATAACTATGGCCTCTATTGCCTCATGGCTAACTTCCTCTTATTCCCTTGCAAAACAGCATCTCTTTCAACACTTCAGTCTGACTTGTGGTGTTTGGCCCCCTCTGTTTCCTTTCCACCACCAGAACTGCCTGGGGTCTAGCTCTGCCAGCCTCTAGCTCAGAATCTCCCAAGTGGGTTGGTCATGACCACTACATTGGAAAATCATGTGGGAAGCTGTTAAAGGCACCAATGCCCAGGTCCCCACATAGTATGCCACTGTAGCCTGGCTGAGCATTTCCCAGAAACTGCTTTCTGCTTAGAGTGGGCCACAGAAGAGGTGTGGGGGAAGTGAGGCATTACCCTTTAAAGATTTCTCACACATAGGCACTTACCTGCTGACTCATTTTGGCACAGCCTAGCAACCAGACTTGCACCTGTCCTACCCCCTCGACTCTCCATAGCACTCAAGACTGCTAAGCCAGGTGTGTGATTAGCCATAAGATAGAGTCCAGCTTGTGTAGGATGCCCACATCACCAAGGTCAGAGGCAACAGCTGCCAGCAGGTTCAGGACACTGATATAAATTCTAGTTGCTTCTCATTTCCTATACCCAACTCCATAGTTTGCAATCAGCTTCCTTTCCTGACAGCCCATCCTGTGAACCCCAAGATTCAGCATTGGACACAAAGAGAGATTTCCAGAGACTATGTAACTACAATGGCATAAAGTCAGATCTCTGCAACAGATACGTGCACTCATACCAGCTTGCATGTTCATATGCACACATGTGCATGTGTTAGTGGAGGCAGAGGTTAACCTTGAGTGGCAACATCCACCTTGTTTTTATTTTGATAGACTTCTCACTGGCCTAGAAGTTACCAATTATGCTAGTTTGGCTGGCAGGCAAGCCCCAGGGATGCATCTGTTTCTGCCTCCTAGCTCTGAGATTAAATGAGAACTAGCACACCCAACTTGTTTTGTTTTGTAAGATAGAGTCTCACTATATAGGCTGTGCTCCAACTCAAAGAGATCTGCCTGCCTCGGCCTCTTGACTACTAGGATTAAAGGCATATGCCACCACACCAGGCTTTAAGCAGGGGTTTTGGGGTGGGGGCATCGAACTCAGGTCCTCAAGCTTGCATGGTAAGCACTGCCAACTGCGTCATCGCATCCCCAGGCCAGTTTCTCTTCATATACAAGCATCTAACTGAAATTTAACTGCTAACACTCCACAGGACCGAGCCACAGAGGTAAGGCCCATACTCAAGCTTTATGCAAAGCTCCCAGGAGTTTCTAAGGGCTCAACACCGTCAACCCTGGCATGAAACGCTCTGAATCTCACTGCATCTCCTTCAGAGTAAGCCAGCAAGGCGGGTGGGAGTCCCCCTTGTTAGCATTCTGTCTAAGCTCCTCCTCACAGTTACCTGGCAACAGCCAGATATGCCTGACTCACTATAAAAGGGGCTGCTTGCCCCCTCCCTCTCTAGCTCTTGCCTTCTTGCTCTCCTTCTGTCCCCTCACCACTTCCTTCCTCCCCCTCCCCGCCCTGTCTCTCTAAGTGCTAATGGACAGCCTCTACTTCTCTACTCCTCTGCTCTCTCTCTCTTTACTACCCTCTTAACTCCCCTCCCCCTTCTATACTATACAGTCGTGTGGCTGGTCCCTCATAGGGAAGGAATGCCTCAACATGGGCCCACCGAGGCACCCCTTTCCCCCATACCTCACCACACATCCACCAAAACATATTCCCCTCTCTGTTTATCTTTTTATAAACACAACACCCCAGATGAAGCGGGAGCTTCTAGAGGCAGAAAGTCATGTCCTGCCCACTCTGTATGGTTTCTCTCTTGTATCTCTTTTCCTTTCCCAGAAATCCTGCCCCTGCCCACCTGGTGGGACAGAAGTAAAGTGAAGCTACCTGCACCTTCTCCTTTCATGTGAAAATCCTGCGGTGCCTCCACCAACCCACTCCAAGAACCTGAAGAGAAAGACAGCATTTTCTGGCTCTCCACTCAAAACGAGCTAAAAAAAGCAAGAGGCAGCTTCACTTCCTCCCGCCAAACTCAGTGTCTGCTCTGTGATAGATACCCAAAAAGGCCAATTGCCAGAACTCTGCAATGGTATGTAAAGTGGTTTTGAAATTTCCTTGGCAAACACAGACGATTTCCTTATATTCTAAGAGTCTTTTGTTAGCCAGGTGGTGGCCAAGCACACCTTTTAATCCCAGCACTGGAGAGGTGGAGGGAGGCAGATCTGTGAGTTCAAAGCCAGCCTAGTCTACAGAACGATTTCCAGGACAGCCAGGAGTAAACAGTGAAGCCCTGTCTTAAAAAACAAAACAAAACAAATCTTCTCTTTGCATGTTGGACAGAAGGCACTACAGTCAGTATGTCTGCACTCAAGGCTCTCTTCCTGTAAATTCTAAGAGAGCTTGCCAAGAGGGGACAGAGACAGCAGAGGCCACTCCCACCCATGTTTATTTGATAACTCCCACTGTGATGCTCACATGAAATCTGAGGGGTTTGACACCTCCCAGAAAGCCAAGCTCCTTATTTTCTCTTTTCAGTTACTCGCTTGCTCATGTTTCTGTTTCCTCCAGACCCCACCACAGGAATACTCACCCATACTTCTCGGCGAGTTCCCTGGCTTCCTCCGCCTTCACAGCCCTCTGGTCTTCCAGGTCACTCTTATTTCCACACAGCACTATATCTGGATTTTCGCAGTATGCGTGCATCTGTAGCTGGCCTAAGGCACAGCAAAGTTTGTTATACGTAAGTCATAACAGTAAGCATGTGACCAATAGAAAATCCATGCAAAGATGCTTCTGAAAACCTCAAATGAATATACAGAAGGAAAGAGTGGATAGAATACTTTCCCTCTGTCTTGCTGAACCACAGATTACATTCCTAAAAACTGGCCACCAAGGTCTAGTCCCTTATTTGGCTACTTCCTCCTCCCAAGGCTGACTCACCGAGGTCCAGCTATCAAAGTATTGAAGTCCAGGATTCAAAAGCCCCATTTGGCTCACCTAATTAATGGGCACAATCAAAAAACCAACTTATCCTAACTGGGGTTCCCCCTTTCCCTTTATAAACTGCCATTTGCCTACAGACCACGTCTGCCTCTGCCTTATCCAGAGGCAGTCCTTTGCCCCTCTGAAGCAAATATCCCTTGCCCTTCTCCCTCACACCGTTTTCCTCCCTCTCCCTTGTTCCTTTTTGTCCCTCCAGGGCTAATAAACCTCCTTTGTTCTGAGAACTTGGTCTTGGTGTGTCCTGTGCTAACTCCAGTCCTTTCATTTGTATCTGAAATATTTTTGTATCAGCCTAAGGCAGGATCAATCTATTTAAAACAATTAAGAAACTGGGTGTGCCGGGCCCAGATTCAGGGTTTTGAGTTAGCCCACCCCAAAATCTACCTAATGAACTATTTGAGCTCATGAAAGGGCTGCTGACCCAAAGCTGCAGGATCTCCCTGACACAGGACATCATCAGGATAACTGAGAGGAGTCCCACTGAGGATCCAGTATTGATGATGTAGCAGAAGCCAGAGGCCTTGAGCTAGACCAGTGACTCATTGCAGTAAACACTTGCAAGTGAAGATGTGTGGACAGAAGAGTGTACTGTGGGACACACTGTGACACACCACAGCTTCCATGATGAAATTTTTTTATGCTTTGTTTTGATTTTTATTTTCTTTTGTGGGGGAAGTTGCAAGGGGGAGGTTGAAGGGAAGAGGAGATAAAGGGGATTGGGGTACATGAGGTGAAACTCAGAATCAATAAAACGTTAAAAAGGAGGATGGCAGCAGGACGTGATGGTGCATGCCTGTAATCCCAGTACTCCAGAAGCTGAGGCAAGGAGCTCTGAGTTCAGAGATAGCCTGAACTCCATAGTGAGGCCTTGTCTTATACAAACACAAACTTCAGTTTAATGATAAAAGAAGACTGAGAATAAACAGTAAATGAGTGCCGCCAAGACCGGGGGAAACAGGACAGCACAATTCATACTCTGTAACTTTCAGAAATGGTCATCTAAAACCCTTTAGCTAGTCTTAACTATGGATAGCACAAGAGGGGCTGGAGAGAAGGCTCAGTGGTTAAGAACATGTACTGCTCCTACAGAGGGCCTGGATTCTGTTCTCACCATTCACCTAAGTGGCTCATCACCACCAGCTACACTGGCCACGCAGGGCCCCTGCGCTCACATGTGCATACCCACACAGACACAGATTTTTTAAAAAAATTATAAAAATGAACTCTCTTTTAAAAGGGAAAAAAAAAAAGAGCTCGAGGGTGCTAAATAGTTCCATCTTCCAAAGAAGGAACATGAAACCCAACTTCTTTCTCCCCACATGCCAGAAATGGAAGCATCTCAAGTTTTGCAACGAGTGGTTTCAGAGTGAATGACTGTGTGTGTGCTTTGTCCCTGTCAGCCAGAGTGTAGACACTTCAGTTCCTGCTCACAAAGGCAGGTCATACATATCTTATCAAGGGAAGGTGAAGGAGGAAGAAGTCTCCCCAAGCCTTAAATAACACAGGCCTGAATTTCAAGATATTATTCTTTGCTTTCAGGAGACATCTTGGGTCACAAGACCTGCCCAGGTAAGATCTAAGTAACTGTGCCCGTTAAAGTACATGGCAGGCCTCTTCTACCCTAGATTGTCAATGTGCGGTTCCCACACTCTTTAATGCCCAGTCACAACTTCCTCAAGATCTGCTCCATCCTCTCCTCTACTAGTCCCTTCTGTGCTCAACGAGAACCTGCAACGTCCACTACCATGGTGACAAACATCTCCTAATGTTGAAAGCTTGGCTCTGTTGCTGGCTGTGTGTTCTCCTCATCCCTAACCCTAACCCTAACCCTTATCCTGAGGGGGGAGTTATGTGACCACCTTAGCATCCTGATCTATAAATGAACATGACAGTACTTACTTCCCAGGTCCAAGATTAACTGATTCAGTGACTCTCTGGGTAAGAGGTATGGGCTAGCAGCCTCAGCAACCCCTGAGAACTATTGAAAATGTAAATTCTAGCCGGGCGGTGGTGGTGCACGCCTTTAATCCCAGCACTTGGGAGGCAGAGGCAGGCGGATTTCTGAGTTCGAGAGTTTGAGGCTAGCCTGGTCTACAGAGTGAGTTCCACGACAGCCAGGGCTACACAGAGAAACCCTGTCTCGAAAAACCAAAAAAAAAAGAGAGAGAGATGTTATTGTTCTCTCTTTCTCTGTGTCTCTGTCTCTCTCTCAGGAGAAGGGGAGGCATTCAGACAACATTTCTGTGTTGCCCTAGGTGTCCTGGAGCTCCCTCTGTAGAGTAGGCTGGCCTCAAGCTCAGAGATCTGCCTGCCTCAGCCTCCCAAGTGCTGGGATTAAAGGTGTGCACCAGCATATCTGAATGGTGTTTATTATTCCCATCTCTAATTTTTTTCATGAAAATTAAAGTAATTGGTGATTAATCATTATCTGAAATTTTTCTCTAAAGCAGAAGAATGTACCTAGACAGCTAAACAGCTGTACCCCAGGATGAGACACAGTGAAGATTATGTGTTCAAACAACAAGATAAACGACAGTCACCAGCAAGAAAGAAAATAGTCCAGCTAAGATTATCATGGAAAATTTCACGGAAGCTCTTTCTTTACAGGTTTTAAAAAATAAAGCTGGCTGGGTAGTAGTGGGACAGGAAGACAGATGGTAAGCCAGTTCTAATCATGTGGGCTCAGAGGACTCAGCTCTCTCTGTTCAGGCTCCTGCACTGGGCTGGCTCACTCCTAAGCTCTTCTCACCACCTCCTGAGAGGATGAGGAAGGATCTCCAGCAGAGAGAAGGCATCTCCAGGGAGCAAAGGATGTCAGTCATCTGAGGCCCTTAGCAGCCTTGGCACTGAGCTGCTTCCAGCAGAACACACAGCACATGTGTCAAGGCATCCATTACATGGTCATGTCATAACAGGGCAGGGCAGGGCCAGGCAGGGCAGGGCAGGGCCAGGCAGGGCAGGGCAGGGCAGGGCAGGGCAGGGCAGGGCAGGGCAGGGCAGGGC